GAAGTCTTCCAGGCTGCTAATCACAGTGGCCTTTTGTGGGAACACAAACAGGACTCATGGAGGTGAAACCTGAGTGTGGCCCCTTCGTCTGAATTGTCTTTCAGCGAGCTCCTGGGAGCCACCGTGCATCGCTCACACAAACATGGGATTATGTGCCATAGTAACACGGTATTGCGCATGCAGATAGGCTACGCTCCCACTCTCCCTTCTGTGGTGTTTAGATTTATCCTGAACTCCAGCTCAGATATAATCATTAAAACAACAGAAACATAGTTTCCTGTTTCAGTGTAATGAATTAAATAAGAGACGAGGGCTCTGTTCCAATACCTTGTGAGCCGTCTCGCTGTCCAATGCCTACATAGACAGCTACCTTTTAAGGCAGGATCCTAACTGGAATAGAACCTAAACTGATTTAAAACATTCTGTGTACACAAGTTTGGTGTTAGCATGTTGCGAAGCTAACAGTGTAATATGCTGATAAACAACAAATTCATATACAATAAGCTCTAATAAACTGAATAAACAAATAAACACAGTCAAGCACCAATACTATTCTTGCAAAAGAGGGAATAACTCCTGAAATAAATGAATGAATCTTTTTGCGATGCAAACTTTAGTGTGTGTATTTATATTTTTCTTGTACATAATCAGGACAAGAAAAAAAATTTGTCAAAATAAAATACATTTTCATAATTAAAAATAAAACATGAACAAACATTTTCATAATAAAAATAAACATTGCCATTATATATACACACACACACATACACACAGCCGTGAAAAGGTTTTTCCCCTTCCTGTTTTCAAAATTTTTTTGCATATTTGTCACACTTAAAAGATTCAGATAAACAAATTTTAATATTACACAAAGATAATCTGAGTAAATACAAAACGCAGTTTTGAAATAATGATTTCATTTATTAAGGGGAAAAAAAAGCTGTCTAAAGCTGCCTGGCACTACTTGAAAAAGTAATTGCCCCCTAAATCTAATAACAGGTTGTGCTACCCTTTGCAGCAACAACTGCAATCAAGTGTTTGCGATAACTGGCAATGAGTCTTTCACATCGCTGTGGAGGAATTTTGGCCCACTCATCTTTGCAGAATTGTTTTAATATAGCCACATTGGAGGGTTTGAGCATGAATGGACTGTTTAAGGTCATGCCACAACATCTCAATCGGATTTAAGTCCGGACTTTGACACTCCAAAACCTTCATTTTGTTTTTCTTGAACCATTCAGAGGTGGACTTGCTGGTGTGTTTGGGATCGTTGTCCTGCTACATAACCCAAGTGCACTTGAGCTTGAGGTCACAAACTGATGGCCGGACATTCTCCTTCAGGATTTTCTGATAGGGTGTAGAATTCATGGTTCCATCGATTATGGCAAGTCATCCAGGTCCTGAAGCTCAGACCATCACACTACCACCACCATGTTTGACTGTTGGAATGATGTTCTTTTTATGAAACGCTGTGTTGGTTTTACGCCAGATGTAACGGGACACACACACCTTCCAAAAAATTCAACTTTTGTCTCGTCGGTCCACAGAATATTTGCCCAAAAGTCTTGGGGATAATCAATATATTTTTTGGCAAATGTGAGACAAGCCTTTGTGTTCTTTTTGGTCAGCAAAGGCTTTTGTCTTGGAACTCTCCCATGGATGCCGTTTTTGCCCAGTCTCTTTCTTATTGTTGAATCATGAACACTGACCTTAATTGAGGCAAGTGAGGCCTGCAGTTCTT